AAAAAAAAAAAAAAAAAGAAAAGAAAATCGATTTTTTTTTAATGATGCCTACCTAAAAGATGATTAGGGGTTGTCCAGGTGAAGTGGGTGAAGAAATGTTCCTAGCAGAGTAGATAACATTTTCCCCGTGGTTTTCAAATTTCACTGCACATTAAAGTTGCTGGAGAAGCTTTCAGGAATCCCTGTGCATAGATCTCACCCCCATATGAATTGAATCAGAACGTCAGAGGGAGGGAACCAGACATTCTAGTAGTAGTTTTTAGAGAAGCCCAGTCAACTCCAAAGTATAGCAAAGTTTGGGAACCACCGGCTTATTTTAAAGACTAGAGAGCATGTGTACTCACAGTACTAGAAGCAGGTCCGACCAGACCGAAGAGGGCACAGAAGGAGTAGTGGTAAGAATTGGAACTGGAGAGGGGCGCCTGGGTGGCGCAGTCGGTTAAGCGTCCGACTTCAGCCAGGTCACGATCTCGCGGTCCGTGAGTTCGAGCCCCGCGTCGGGCTCTGGGCCGATGGCTCAGAGCCAGGAGCCTGTTTCCGATTCTGTGTCTTCCTCTCTCTCTGCCCCTCCCCCGTTCATGCTCTGTCTCTCTCTGTCCCAAAAATAAAAAAATAAAAAAAGTTGAAAAAAAAAGAATTGGAACTGGAGAGGGAAGCAGCGGCCACATGGTGAAGGGTTTTATAAACCATCCAGAGGAATTCGATTTTATCCTACATACAATGCAAAGTCATTGAAAGGTTTCAGGTTGGACTGTGGCCTGATCGGTTTATGTTTTAGAAGCACCGTTCTGCTCCAGACGGAGAGGGGAAGTCTGGTTATGATGCTTTTGCAATACTCCCTTTGTGGGATCACACTTGCCTAGACCGGTAAGTGGTCGTAGAAACGAGTTGGACAGATTTAAGAAATTTAAGAGGTGGAGTAGACCTTATTGAATGAAGGGAAGGGCAAGAAAGACTTAGAAATGAGAGCACCATTCATTGCGATAGGGAGCCCAGGAGAAGGAATGGACTGGGGAGAAACACTAAGTTCTGTCGTGGACGTGTGATTTGAAGGCAGCAGGATAGAGGCATTCAGTGGGCAGGACTACAGCTTCCTGGCGGCCGGCCCTCCCTGTTCTGTTGCCCAAGTGCTTTTGTGCCTTGAGGTGAACCTGGAGAGATCTTTGCTTCATTGACTTTTAAGCGGAATTTAGTCAGCTGTATGGCCTCAGGAAAGCTCTTTATCTCTGCTGTTTTCTTCTGATTTGGATGTATGACCTGTGCTCCTAATCCTTTTGTTTTCATCTCTCTGTCATGATCTGTCTTGAAGAAACAATTAGTCTTCTCTGATTGGTCCTGTTCCATCAGCGGCATGAAGTTTCCTCGTCAATTAGAAGCCAAAGACAGTGGTTCTCAATACCGGCTCTTTGATAGAACTTTTACAGAAAGTTAACTGTTATTATCCACCAGTATATACACTCCATGAAGGCAAAAATTTTATCTCCCTTAATGACTTTTTTTTTTTTTTTTTTTTTTTTTTTTTTTTTTTTTTTTTTTTTTTTTTTTTTGCTGTATTCCTAGTGCCTAGCACATAGTACACATTCAGTAAATATTTCTTGAATGAATGAATAAAAAAATATGCTTTGGTCCTGTCCACAGAGATTCTGATTTAATGACTCTGGAATAGGACCCAGGCATCTCTTTCTTCTTCTTCTTCTTTTTCATCTTCTTTTTAAAAGCTTCCCAAGTAGGAGTGCCTAGGTGGCTCAATTGGTTAAGCATCCGACTTCAGCTCAGGTCATAATCTCACGGCTTATGAGTTTCAGCCCCGTGTCAGGCTCTGTGCTGACAGCTCAGAGCCTGGAGCTTGCTTCAGATTCTGTGTCTACATCTCTCTGCCCCTCCCCCGCTCATGGTCAGTCTCTTTGTCAATAAACAAACATTTAAAAAGTTAATAAAAGCTCCCCAAATAATTCTAGTGCATAGCCAGATCAAGCATGACTGACCCACGCCAGTGTTTCTCAAACTTGGCTGTGCTACTGAGAAAAAAATCCCATAATGTAGGTAGATTGGAATTGTTATAACTCAAGATTATGTAACCCAACTGGGCCCTCTGTAATTCTTGTTACTCAGGAATTCTTTGTTTCCCCAGTGAAGTCTCTTCCATTCTCCAAAATGACAGTGTCAGTGTCCGTCCCATTCTTTCTGAGCCTCCCATCTCCCCCCCCCCTTACCCTCAACATGAGATCTTTCTTCTTGCTTCACAAAAAAATGTAAACCATTATATGACCACTCTCAACTTCCTGTGATCAAGCTACTAATTGACCTGCATCTGATACCCATAATTCTCCTCTTCCTTCCTGTTCAGAGGGGACAGGGAGCCCTTTCTCCTGTTGGGAGTTCAGTCCCTCCCCTACTCCTTTGCTCTGAACTTGACTTGCTCCCTCCTCCCCCAGGACTTTGTTTGCTCGATTGTCCTCCCAAATGTCTTTAACTTTTTACTGTTCTTTACTGCTTTACATCCTCACTGAACATGCTTAATTGTCTTCCAGCTTAAATCAGCCTTTGAGCACATTTGTTCCCCCTTATGACTCAGCACTTCCTTTCCCTGTTGTGTTCTACTCTTAGAAGCAGCTGGCTGTTTTCTGTACTTTCTCACCCTTTGTGTATACGCAGCTCCAGCTCACTGGAATCTGGTTTCCAACCTGCTGTAATTAATCTCTCCAGGATTGCAAATAATGACTTCCTTCCTTATGGCTAAAATCAACCTTGTTGAAATCCTTCGCAGTCTTTGGCACACTCTCCCTCTTTTTTTTTTAGAAGTTTTTAGGTTCTCTCTACACCCAGCATGGGACCCAAACTCACAGCCCCGAGATCAAGAATCCCGTGATCCGGGGCGCCTGGGAGGCTCAGTCAGTTAGGCGTTCAACTCTTGATTTCGGCTCAGGTCATGATCATGGTTCGTGAGATGGAGCCCCACATCAGGCTCTGCGCTGACAGTGCAGAACCTGCTTGGGATTCTTTCCCCCCTCTCTCGCTGCTCCACTCACACTGGCTCACTTACTCTCTCAAAAATAAACAAACTAAAAAAAAAAAAAAAAAACACATGCACCGCTGAGTCAGCCAGGCATCCCCCCTCCCACCAAATCTTCTTGATTTCCTCCGTTGATGTGCTTCTTTTCCTTCGCTTGTGTCTTTAAATGCTGCTGTTCCTCAACTTCTTGTTCTAACTCACTCTCTGAGCAGTTTTATTTATTGCCAGAATTATAAGTATCTTCCTTATACTTATGTTGTTATGTTAGTAATATGTTATAAACAACAGTATGTAATAAATAATAATTACTATCTGTTGCTTCAGTCCAGATCTCTTTTGAGACACATATTTTGATGTCTATTGGAATACCTACTTGGAAAATCCAAAAACCTCTCAAATTCAGGATGTCTGAATCAAACTCTCTTACCCTCCCACCCCTACTGCTGTACCACGCACACCCCCCTCCCCCTGTTTTCTGTACTCCAAGAACAACCCTGCCGTGTGCCTGCTGCTCAAACCGCAAATCTGGATGCCGTCTTCAGCTTCCTGCTTTCCCTTCATCCTAGTCAGTCACTAGGAGCGGCTCCTGTGCTCCCCTTGATAGCTCTTGTCTGTTTCTTTCCATCTCTGCTGCCGCTTCTCCAACTCAGGCTGTCTTTGGCTCACAGGAATGCAAGAGCTGCCATCAAAGTGCTTTTAGCCGAGGAAAGATGAGATTACTGCTGCATCGAAGGGACCACTCAGGTTTGTGGTGTGGAGAGCAGACTGAAGAGGGACAGCACCCGGACAAGGACTTACAGAGCTATTGCTCATCTTTTAATCTCATCTGAGGTTTCCAGGAAGAGGGTGCTGGAAGGACAGACATACCTGTTGAGCAAATGAGAAGCCCAGGTGCACAGAATAAGGGATCAGGTCATTCTCTGCTTCCGTGCTTTTGTCCAGTTTTGGAGAAGGCATTCCTTCTGAATCGACCAGCCTGCTCCCCTGAATGCCTCATGTGTGTAATTCTTTCAGAACCCCGGGGGTCATGTCCTTCCTACTCTTCAGCCTTCTCTACCGGCCCAGCTGGCATAAGCACTTCCTGGCTGGGGGAGGGCCCTCTCGGCCACGTCTCTCTTTCCCTTCTCGGCTCAGCTCCTCAAAGGTATAGTCTGTCCTTCCCCATTCACGCCCCACTTTTAGCAGGCCATGCACCTCATCCGGTAAAGGTCACTGTGGATCTCCAAGGGACCCGATCCCAGGGGCTGTTTTAGTCTTCGCTGTATCTTAACTGTGTCCGTTTTTGTTGGGCAGTCTCCTGCAGGACCTCTCTTGACGTTGATGGTGCAACCCGGTGTAGTTCTCTGAATATCTCCCTTGTCAATCTCTTTACAGGTTCTTCCATCCACCAGGCAAGTGTTTCTCAAGGTCAAACCCTCAGCCTCCTTTATCCCTGCAGCCTCCCTGATCCATTTTGTCCATTGTCTTCATTTCCATTTTCACCTGTAGTCTGGTGATGTCCAGACAGGATCTCTAGCCTTGGCTAGATTATCAGGGTTCAGACTTTTATCTCTGACTGTCCTGTTCCCTGAAGGTCATCTAATTTGTATGTCTCACAAACCCCTCAGAATCAGTATCCCCGCCTTCTCAACCCCTGCACCACACTGCCTTCTACCCTTGGTCTGTCTCCCCCATCTCAGGACCGCCCCACCATCCGTTCTGTTGCCCAGAAGAACTGAGCATCTCTCTGCCCTTCGCCTTCTCTTCAGCACCTTTTATTACCTTTGTTTGGGCCTTTTCTGTCTCTGGCCTCAACTATTTTGATAGTTCTTCAAATGGACTCCCTTTCCTAGGCTTGTTTCCTGAAATCCATCCTTACCACTAATCCACTGATTCCTCTGTTTCCCTGAAAAAGATAAAATACGGAGCTAGGTAGAGGATAATTATCCATTTGTGAAGGTACGAAATGCCACTGAACTGTTGATTTTGAAATGGCTAATTTTAGGCTATATTAATTTCACCTCATTGTTTTTTTAAAAAAAACATGTAAATTAAGAAGCTGGGACTCCAGCATTCTACCCTCTGATATTCTGGACCTCATCCTAAAGCAGAACATTCTCCTCTGCAAAGGATAATTATTATTTATCACATAGACTCCACACTTGTTTCCAACATGCTTGTTTAGGGGGAAGTAAAAAGAGTCAGATTAGGATTCCTTAAGGACAGAAACGGACTTGTTCATCTCCAGGCCTAGCACACGCCCATATTTGTTCTCTTTACAAGAAGATGTGGTGTGCCATATGAATAAAGAGAGTTCCATTGTGAGGTCATTGATTTCACTAGTTACCCTTTGATACTTGGGAGAGTTTTGTCCCAGTGACCTCTATATCTGAATAGTTTAAACGGTTATTGTGATGTAATCTGGCATTTTTACCTTGTATATTACCCTGTAATAGCACTGAGCAAGCAGATGGAGTGCTGCAACATTCTAGGGAAAGAAATTGCTAAATATGTATTCTAGGACACTAATACACAGGCAACAACTTATTTTAGAGAATTTGGTTGTAAGCTTATTAAGAAATCAAATGAAAGGTGAGAGGTTTTCTTTAGTCTAAAATACTATCCTTGAAAGACGATTCTCTTTGAATTTCTAGTCTGTGAGGTTATCTAAATAGGATCATTTATCTACTGTGGTTATATTGGAAAATAAATTATGTCAATTTATATGAAGAAGAGAGCGTAGCATTTTTGAGCTATATAGTATTGGTCCATTTGGAACTAGTCATACTGGCTTGAGGGAATACAGTTCTGGCTTCTTTCCTTCAGAAACGTCTCCCTGCTTTTCCTTTTCCCTCTAGCTTTCCAAGGAATCGCTTCAATCCGTCGATGTCCTCCGAGAGGAAGTTTGTGAGATCTTGGATGAAATGAGCCACAAACTGCGTCTGGGAGCCATCCGTTTTTTTGCCTTTGTGCTGAGCAAAATATTTAAACAAATTTTCTCAAAAGTGTGTGTAAATGAAGAAGGTATTCAGAAAGTGAGTATCGCTGGTTAAAAAACAACCTCTTCTTCTACCCCTCATGATACAATCAATGCAGAGACATCTCACTCTGCACCAAATGAGCAGGCCCTTGGCATCGGGCATCCAGGCTGGCCGGAAGAGGCTCTGCCTCTCTGGAAGGTGATGTTTGTCACTTTCAGATCTTCAGACTTGAGATTAAGTTACTTAGTCAGGTAATACTTACAGGCTAACCTAATGTCAGATGTCCACAAAGTTACAGAAGTAATGCCGAGAATTTCTGTACGCGGTTCACCTGGATTCCCCTCCAACATTTCCTTCATCCTTTTCCTCAGTTCTCCAGTGTGTTTTTCCCATAAGCGGTTAGGATACTCCCATCTGGCGCAATTATCAAAATAAGCAAACTGACATTTAACGCTAGAGTACAGACCTCATTCATAATCCACCAGTCGTCCTGGTTATGTCCTGTACAGCAAAAGAAAATCCTCTATCACGCGTCACGTTCAGCTTCCTTATCTCTGTAGACCCTTTTAAGTTAGAACAATAACTCGGCCTTTGTTTGTGTTTCATATTAGTTTTGGAAACAAAACCCAAAAAACAAAACCAGACCTATTTTATAGCTTGCCTTGATTTGGATTCGAGTGATGTTTTCTCAGTGGGAAAACATTGTGTCCTTCTCAGTGCAGCAGGTCAGGAACACCGCGATGTGCACTTTCAGCATTTGGTTAAGGTGGTATTTCCCTTTGTAATGAGTAAGTATCTTGTGGAGAGATGCTTCAAGAGGGGTCCGCCTTACTTCCTCCATTAGTTTTTACATTGACTGATGATTTTTGCCTGAACCAGTTATTACTCTAATGATTGCCAAATGGTGATTTTTCTAATTCCATCACTGTTGTTAACAGCCTGCTTTCCTCTGAAAGGAAGAGCTTTTCCTATTTTTATTCATTTATGTTTTTTAATATCGTTTTTCCTCTTACCAAGAAGCTCTCACCTTCATTGACCTGCCTGTACATGTCTTTTAAGGTTTTGTTTTATTCAGTCATTTACTTTCAAGTATTTCTTCTTTTTTCCTCCTCTATTTTCTAGATTGCTGACTTACTCTCTGGATCTCTGTCAAAGAATGCTTGATAAAGCCATCCAGAGACGGGCACCTGGGTGGCTCGGTTGGTTGAGTACCCACTTCGGTTCAGGTCATGATTTCACAGTTTGTGGGTTCGAGCCCTGCGTCAGGCAGTCTCTCTGCTGACAGCTCGGAGCCTGGAGCCTGCTTCGGATTCTGTGTCTCCCTCAGTTTTTGCCCCTCCCCTGCTCGTGGTCTGTCTCTCTCTGTCTCTCAAAAATAAATAAACCTTAAAAAAAAAAAAAAAAAAAAAGCCATCCAGAGAATCTTGACTGGTGTTGACTGGCCATGTCTTCTTTTTTTTTTTTTTTTTTTTTTTTTTTTTTTTTTTTTTTTTTTTTTTTTTTTAATTTTTTAACATGTATTTATTTTTGAGAGACAGAGAGAGACAGAACGTGAGCAGGAGAGGGGCAGAGAGAGAGAGGGAGACACAGAATCCGAAGCAGCCTCGAGGCTGAGCTGTCAGCATAGAGCCCGATGTGGGGCTCGAACTCACAAACCGTGAGATCGTGACCTGAGCCAAAGTCAGATGCTTAACCGACTGAGCCACCCAGGCGCCCCTGGCCATGTCTTCTTAACTGATCACACATTACCTTGCCTTGGCGAATTATAGTTAGATTAAAAAAGAAAAGAAAAGCAGATAACACACTGATACAGTGAATGTATTTGAGGTATCTTGACAGCCTACAAAATATATCTGGAGGCTCAAATTCCTTCTAACTGCAGGGCTCCCATTCTTCCTGCAGCCAGTCCAGTGTATAGAGAAATACCCTACCTCTCATTTATCCTGCTAATTCAGATTTGTTTTCATTAGTCTACCCGAGAGAAGCTTTGTTCCCTCTTATACACACAATCAGTCTAGCACAGTGGGTAACAGCTGACCTTTTTTTTTTTTTTTTAAGTTTATTTTTGAGAGAGAGCGCACCCGTGTGAGTGGGGTAGGAGCGGAGAGGGGGGCGGAGGGAGAATCCCAAGCAGGCTCTACACTGTCAGCACGGAGCCCAACGCAGGGCTCATTCTCCCCAAAGGAGAGCTCATGACCTGAGCTGAAATCAAGCGTCAGACACTTAACCAGCCGAGCCTCCCAGGTGCCCTGACAGCTAGCTGACTTTTTAATTCAGACTGATTTCAGTTGTATCCCCAGCCCGGCCATCGATCAGATGCATCACCACGTCGCAAATGAGGAACCTAATGCTTAGGCCTTCTTTACAAATATGTGGAATTAAACAATGCGTGTAAAATGCTTCATATGTGAAATGCTTAATGTGGTGCCCCGCTGATATGTTAGTGTTTATCACTATTATTTTCTATGCAATTTACATTTTTAATGTTCTTGCATCATGTGTGCTTATTTCTGTAAAACTCTGAAATGTAGTAGGGGATTCTGTATGTAGCAGGGGAGCCAGAAAGACCTTGTTATCCTTAGTGTTCCCTCCGTACGTATACACATTCTTCCTGTTCTGATGTGGCATGTGATTTTAATAATATGAAAACTGAAATGATTCAAAAGGGAACATTTGTTTTAAAGCTACAGCGAGCTATCCAGGAGCACCCGGTTGTTCTGCTGCCCAGTCATCGAAGTTACATTGACTTCCTGATGTTGTCTTTTCTCTTATACAACTATGATTTACCTGTACCAGTCATAGCGGCAGGAATGGGTATGTATTGTTTCCCCGTTTTTTATTTTAATTACAAAAATAAAAAATACTCACCAAAGCGATTTTAACAGTTCCTGAGGTGTTTGAAGATGATGGTGAAAATACCCTGTCCCTTCTTCCGTTTCAATTTTACATTTTTTTTTTTAATTTTTTTTCAACGTTTATTTATTTTTGGGACAGAGAGAGACAGAGCATGAACGGGGGAGGGGCAGAGAGAGAGGGAGACACAGAATCGGAAACAGGCTCCAGGCTCTGAGCCATCAGCCCAGAGCCCGACGCGGGGCTCGAACTCACGGACCGCGAGATCGTGACCTGGCTGAAGTCGGACGCTTAACTGACTGCGCCACACAGGCGCCCCTCAATTTTACATATTTTTATATGAGTGTTTTTACTTCTGTAGGACTGATTCCCAAAAGCAGGATTGCTAAAGCAAATAATTGTTTATCACCTCCCTTTTGAGGTAGCCAGGAAAGTTGGGATTCAAGAATACACCTTGGTTAATAAATGCAGTAAACAGTAAGGTAAAAACAGCCAGGGACTTAAGTACTTTAAAAGCATTTTCATCTGTACAGACATGTGAGGGAGTTATTTGAAAAGTAAGGAAAATGGAAAGAAGGAGGGTTTTTAAACTGATGATAGAACTCTTCCTCTCATCCGGGACTTGGTGGATTTATTCTGTGCCACTCAGAGAAGGCTGGGTAAAAAAAGAAAGGTGGATAACAAAAAGAAAAAGAAAGTCGCTCTGGACGGCTGTCCAGCATGGACCACATGTGCTGGTCTGTCGTCCAGGTCGGCAGCAGTGCTAACTGAAGACCTCGGCATGATGACATCATTGAGCTGGCCACTTGCCCACTGAGGCCACGGTCTCTGGTGGGTCTGGCCGTAAACGCCAAGGCACCCGGTGGCCCTCGAGGTAGCCTCCCAGCTGGCCTGCCCACACGGCCCCTCCTCTCCCATCAGACTGTTAGAGGTCCTTAACGGATGTTCATGTCGGGAAGTGTAATTATTTTTTTTTTAATTTTTTTTTAATGTTTATTTTTCGAGAGAGAGAGAGAAAGAGAGAGACAGAGCTCAAGAGGGGAAGGGCCAGAGAAAGAAGGAGACACAGAATCCAAAGCAGGCTCCAGGCTCTGAGCTGTCAGCAGAGCCCGATGCGGGGCTCGAACTCATGAACCGCGAGATCATGACCTGGGCCGAAGTCAGTTGCTTAACCGACTGAGCCACCCAGGTGCCCCGGGAAGTGTAATTATTAATATCACAGGGGTGTTTTCCACACACGAAATCTTTCTTCATAGAATGTGAGTTGAGGTATTTATGGAAAGTTCCAAGACCTGCAAAAAAAGGTGATCCCCTTCTGTATTTATTTCCTAGACTTCCTCGGAATGAAAATGGTCAGTGAGCTGCTGCGGATGTCGGGTGCCTTTTTCATGCGACGCACCTTTGGTGGCAATAAACTTTACTGGGCCGTGTTCTATGAATACGTGAAAACCATGCTACGGGTAAATGCAGATAATCTCTTAGCACTTTCGTTGCATTTCCTTTTCACCTGCTTGCTGGAGGAGCTTAAATTCTTCCTTCACGAACGCTCAGCCACTCGTCCCGCTGCAGGAACGCACATGACCTCCTCGCTGGTGAGCTCAGGTGCTATGTCTCTCACGCCTGCGGCGCTATTCCCCTGCTCAAGTAACGCGTTGGTTCCGCCGGACGGGGGGGGTCGTAAGCCCGGGGTGGGAAGAATCAAAAGAAGGGCACCTGTTGGGATGAGCATTGGGTGGTTGTATGGAGGCAATCTGACGATAAATTATATTTAATAATTATGTTTAATAATTATATTTTAAAATTATATTTAATAATATGTATTACATATATATATAATAGCGTATTTGGGGTATGGTGGCGCTAATTTCACTCTGAGACTAGGCAATGGGTTTTGTGTTTTGTTTTGTTTGTTTCTGTTTTCTTAAAGAATGGTTATGCTCCTGTTGAATTTTTCCTCGAAGGGACAAGAAGTCGCTCTGCCAAGACACTGACTCCAAAATTTGGTAGGTCCTTTAGAGATTGAAGGAAGAATACAAATCCAGAAGATGTGGTGTGGTCACAGCTACTGGATACAGCTTGGCACTTTTTTTTTTTTTTTTTGGCAAGATATTCTTTCTTTTTTAAGCCTAACTGTTTAAGTTGTAACTGTTTCTATTTATGGGCTTAGTATCTATTGTGCACTTCAGGGTCTTCCTGTTTGTGTCCCCTTGTTTACTCCACTTTTCAATACATCTGGAAAACCCTTTCTCCCTGTTTACAGGTCTTCTGAATATTGTGATGGAGCCATTTTTTAAAAGAGAAGTTTTTGATACGTACCTTGTTCCAATTAGCATCAGTTACGACAAGATATTGGAAGAAACTCTTTATGCGTATGAGCTCCTGGGGGTGCCTAAGCCAAAGGAGTCCACAACTGTGCGTAAATTTAGGACAACCAAACTTTTATTTGAATTTGATTTTACTTGAATTCAGAGAAAATGCTCATTTATACACCAACTCCTTTCTGAACTTACTCCTGTTTATCCCCATTTCCCCTGTCGTGACGCCACTAGGGATTGTTGAAAGCCAGGAAGATTCTCTCTGAAAATTTTGGAAATATCCATGTGTACTTCGGAGACCCTGTGTCACTTCGATCTCTGGCAGCTGGAAGGATGAGTCGGAGCCCGTATAACTTGATTCCAAGGTGCAAGACCTGTGTTTTCATAACCGACATGGAGATTAGGATGAAAATCTGGAAGGGTAGTTGTGATTCTTGAGTTGACCCCTTCTAGGACTGCAACTTAGTTGTCCGAGATGACGTATCAGAGGAGCAGAAAGCTTCAATTAAAGAATTATGTTTGCAGGATACGTGTGTCAAATAGGCAAGGTCAGTGCTCACTCTCAGGGGAGCCAGTGCCCTACCGCCTACGCTACACCACAGCGTGCAGTGCGCCGCCCGTACTGCGTGTGTGGGAATCGTTGAGCACTATTGGTAGGTCGGCCAAAGTGTGGTTAATCCTAGAAAGGATTATGTGGTCAGAATGAATGGCGGTGAGTCCCAGTCCTCAAGAAGGTTATAGTTTTGGGGCGCCCGTGTGGCTCAGTTGGTAGAGCACGCTACTCTGGATTTTGGCTCAGATCGTGGTCCCTGAGCCGTGGGATCAAGCCCCACCGTTGGGCTCTGCGCTGAGCGTGGAGCCTGCTTGGCATTCTCTCTCTGTCCTTCCTCCTTCCCCTCTGCCCCTCTCCCTCACTCTCGCATGCTCTCCCTCCCTCTCTCTCTCTCTCTCAAGTAATTTTTTAAAAACAGGTTATTGTTTTATGGGCACAGAAATGTATTAGGTTCTTTCAGGATGCAGGTGCAGATACACCTTTGGGTTTTCTTAATTTAGAGAAATACACATGGGGAAGTAAGGAGACAGAAACCACCTGCTCAGACAGGCTTCACACGACCACATCATCGTTCATCCGTAGCGCCAGTGGTTCCGCGGCAGCTGGAGTGCCTCACTGGCGGCCTCGCCGGCGATCAAGCAGATGGTAGCTTTATGCTGCCACAGGCTCCACGCTATAGATCTCGGATACGTAGGACGGGGTGCCCTCACTGGCTCCAGCTTTCCCATTAAGCCACCTTACGGTGTGGACACTCTCAGGTCCTGTGCCTGTCCCCGCTTCAGCCTGTTCTGTATCGGTTCCTGATATCGGATGCCAGGTTTGGTGATCCGTGCCTGAAGAATCTGTCAGGCGAGGATCGTGAGCTGCTCAGCAGAGCAGCGTAGCAGTCAGGCAAGCTGTGTGGCCCATCCAGGGCAGGCACGAGCAGTTACCACGTAAGCTGGTGTGTTCTGTGAGAGAGGTGTTCAAAGGGCAGCGAGCGAATTCCGAGAGGGCAGAGTAGTTCAGGCCCCTGGGGGAGGCATCAGGTTTCAGAGGAAGTGATACATCCTAGTTATAAAGCAACAGAAGTTGTTTTGCCTGGAACCAGGAAGAATAGGACTGTGTCCCCCTGAGTGTATTTTATCACCTCTCAAGAGCATACCGTAGAGACAGAGGGACAGGTGACACCACAGTAAGTATATTCTTGCACTGTGACCTGAGAGAATTCGGTTGGCAGAAAGAATGAGAAGCCTTCTAAAGGGTCTGCCTTCTCCCGTTCCCCTCCCTCACCATTCACATCAGTGTGGGTAGCAAAACTGTAATCTTCTTTATAGGTATATCTTCCTTATAGGTATATCCTGTTCTTCCTTATAGGTATATCCCTCAGAAACAGTCAGAGGACATGCATGCCTTTGTCACTGAAGTTGCCTATAAAATGCAGCTTCTGCAAATTCAAAACCTGGTTCTGAGCCCGTGGGCCCTCATGGCTGCTGTTCTGCTTCAGAACCAGCCTTCCATGGACTTTGACGCTCTGGTGGAGAAGACTCTATGGCTGAAAAGCTTAACCCAGGCCTTCGGGGGGTTTCTCACCTGGCCCGGTACGTATGTGAGATGTATGTGAGGAGCGTGCTTGCTTTTTGTTTCTTAATTTGGAAAAGCTGTCACCTAGACATGAAACACCTACACGGGACACCGAGCAAAGCTTTGCTCAGAGAGAAAGAAAACTTTTTTTTGAAGTTTGTTTATTTATTTATTTTGAGAGCGAGAGAGAGCAAGCAGGGGAGGGGCAGAGAGGGGGAGAGAGAGAGAATCTCAAGCCGGCTCCACAGGCTCAGCACAGAGCCCTGTGAGGGACTTGAACTCACAAACTGTGAGATCATGACCTGAGCCGAATCAAGAGTCGATGCTTAACTGACTGAGCCACCCAGGCGCCCCAGATAGAAAGAAAACGTCATTTGTTTTTATCACTGGGGGACACTGAATACAGTATGTTGATTATTTGAGAACAATTGCTTACGTGTCACTTCTTCCTATGAGACTCTGGGTATGTCAATTAAAATGCTGCCTCCTTGGCACCTAGCAGGGTGGAGAGTGGATGAATCTCCTTTCCTCCGCATATTCCTCCCTCCGTACCCACTTCTTGTTATTTTTATTTTTTCACAGTTTTTTGTTTTTTTTTTTTTTACTAAAATACAGTTAGCGTCACGTGTTTTGTTTCAGGTGTGCAGCCTTGATTGGACAGTTCTACGCATTACTCACTGCTCACCGTCGTCGGTGTAATACACCCACCTCGTTTTAAACCACATTAGATTTGCAGCCCATTCGCTTCACCCCATCAAAAGGACCAAAGGGCCAGTCTCGTGGACCTTTATACGATTCTCGGAAAATGACAACTTTGTAAAGCCCTCATTGGCGTTATAAATACTTCGCCGGGAGTTTGGGACGTGTGTGCCAAGTGTTAGCTTTAGCTGTTTCCAATCTCTTTGAGTCAAAATTGCAGAGACCACAGTTGGAAATGTAATCCGTTCATAGCTCCCCACTGGTCACTCATTAAACCTCTTGAGTGCCTGGTGGGTGCTGGGAACTACCCAGAGGCCGGAGAGAACAAGGCGCAACCCCTGTGTGGGACGTCCTCCTGGTGTGTGGAAGGCAGGGGCGGGGCATCTAGTGAAGCGGGGCCAGCGAAACACACACAAAGAACTTCGAATGGACCGCAGAGCGTTGCTGAGACCCCTGTGTAGGGAAGGGCCACGCTCGGGGAAGGTTTCATAGAAATGACTTTTGAACCGATCTTGATGGAAAAGCAGGAGCCATTCTGGAAGACAAGCGGGCAAGGGATTGCTAACGTAGGGATTGGGAAACGTGAAATGGTGCAATAGCACCGCATCACGGTGATGCTGGCCTGCAGGTGGGTGGGTGAGCTTACAGTGTTGGCTCTGGGAGACGGATGATGGAAGGTAAAGATGTGGACACAGGCTGGATTAGCTGGGCCTGCTGCCTGGGGGATCTGGACTGGAAGCTGTAGTTTACGGGACTCAGTTGCAGATTTTTTTTTAAGTTTATTTATTTTTTTATGTTTATTTATTTTGGAGAGAGAGAGCGTGGGAAAGGGGCAGAGAGAGAGGGAGACAGAGGATCGGAAGCAAGCTCTGTGCTGACAGCAGAGAGCCGAATGCGGGGCTCAAGCTCACGAACCGTGAGATATCACCTGAGCCGAAATCAGACACTTAACTGACTAAGCTACCTGGTCGCCCCTTAATTTATTTTTGAGAGAGAGAGAGAGAGAGAGAGAGAGAGAATCCCAAGCAGACTCCATGCTGTCAGCACAGAGCGCGATGTAGGGCTTGAACCCACGAACCGTGAGATCACGACCTGAGCTGAAATCAAGAGCTGGGCACTTAACCAACTGAGCCACCCAGGCACCCCACAGTCGAGGATTTTAAGCAGGGAAACATGACTGCAAACAACTGTAGAAAACAACCAGTGTCCGTTTTCAAGCTGGGCCACATGAATGGGAAGGGAAGGAGCCTGAACAAGGCACTGGCAGAGCTGAGGTGGGGCTATGAGGTGTTTAGGCAGAACTGCCAGCAGAAGCGGCCATCGCCTTGAATAGTGGTCACCAGCGGAGAAACAAAGATGAGTCAGACACATGTTCCCATGGGCGGCAAAGGACACGTTGAGCGTGATTCAGGTAGAAAATCATGAGAAAAGCGTAGGTAAAGTGCTGACTCCTACTTGGCCCAGGAGCATGTGAAAACCTAGGCACCTGTCTTTCCAAGCGTTTTTGTTTTCTCAAGATGGAAGAAGTAGGCCAGTCTGTAGCTAAGAGTATCTATTCAGCAACTGAAATAATTTAAGTTATTATAGAGTGAGAGTCTGTTGGTATCTAAGTAACAGTAATAGAGTGATTAAATATGATTTCTGATTCAGAATGTGGTATATCCGTTCAGTTCCTTTTTTCTTCCTTACTCCACTTACCACGTATTCCTAAGCATTCTCCTATCAAGAGGTCTTCATGATACATGTATCATTATGCCATGTCATATTATATCGTGTATATAACATTACCATATGTCATTACCTTGAGCAAGCGGAGACAAGACATGTGCATCTAGAGCAATGTGATCGAGTCCAGAAGGAAACCCCACACCCCTCAGTTGTCTCTTCTGCAAAGCATTAGCAGACTTTGCCCAGCTTGACCAGTGTGCCTGGCTACATACCCGGCAACCAGCTCTTTGGCTCAGGGAAACAGTAAAATGATTTCCCTTGCCAAGAATGTTGGTTAAGTATCACCATCTCTTCCTTACGCTTCTGTAATACTAACTTCTTGGCCTTCTCTAGGCCAGCATAGTGTCAGGTGGTAAGTTACCAGCATCTGTTAGGGGCTCAGTTCTTTACTTTTCTCCGATGTGAAAAAACCAGAAAGCCTCCTCAGTGTCCGCCTGTGCCCAGGGAAGCCTGGTGCTAGGGGAGTGCCTCTGGGATTACCCTTTGTTCACCAGCAAAGTTGCAAAGCAATATTCTTGCCGTCTTGGAATTAATTGGTCTAAGCAAGGGGTGTGTGTGTGTGTGTGTGTGTGTGTGTGTGTGTGTGTTGTGTGTGTGTGTGTGTGTGTGTGAAGTATGTTTTCATCATGAGCCTTCTTAGTATTTTGTGAATTCACATGCATGTGATTTTCTTATCCTGTAACTTGCTATTACAAAACTCTGGATACCCTTGGTTCCTGAGGAAGTGTTGGTTTTTAGACTGGGAATTGGTATGCATTTCAGAGTGGCTGACAATTTAGGGGTAGATAAGAAAGTCGATTAAATGTCCTCAGAGTTTATACTGCTTTTAGAAAATACCCTTGGGGCGCCTGGGTGGCCCAGTCGGTTAAGCGTCCGACTTCGGCTCAGGTCACGATCTCACTGTCTGTGGGTTCGGGCCCCACGTCGGGCTCTGTGCTGACGGCTCAGAGCCTGGATCCTGTTTCGGATTCTGTGTCTCCCTCTCTCTGACCCTCCCCCGTTCATGCTCTGTCTCTCTCTGTCTCAAAAATAAGTAAATGTTAAAAAAAAAAAAATTTTTTTTTAAAAGAAAATACCCTTCACAGGGGCACCTGGCTGGCTCAGTGGGAACAGCATGTGACACTTGATCTCAGGATTGTGAGTTTGAGCCCCACGTTGGGCATAGAGATTACTTAAAAAAGAAAGAAAGAAATAGGTATCTTTCACGTAGGGTATCATTACTTCAGTTGGTAGAGCCTAAAACCAGAACCTGGTGCTTGAAAGTAAATCTGTCAGGTCCCTAGCGTTGATGCATACACTAGCCTAAGACTCCCATCAGGGAACCCATCCCATTTCTTTGCTGCCTGAACGCATTGTCTTTGTGTGTAGATAATGAAGCTGCTGAAGAAGTTATCCAGTCCAACCTTCTTCTGCATTCCAACATCGCCAGCCTTGTCAAAGACCAGGTGGTTCTGAACGTGAACGTGAACTCCGGAGACTCAGAAGTGGTCCATGGGCTTCTCTTCCAGCATATCACTCTCCTCATGTGCTCAGCTTACAGGAACCAGTTGCTCAACATTTTTGTCCGCCCTTCCTTAGTAGCCATGGCACTGCACATGACACCCGGGTTGCGGAAAGGTAACTTTCGGGAATGTGGTCTTGAACTTTAGAAGAGACCTGGCCGTTCAGCTCCGTATATAGGGAGCAGCATTTGAAGCCTTATCACACTCAGCCACATGTATGCGTCCCAGACACCATCAAAGAAGGGGCCCTGTGTACTCGGAAGAAGCTAGGCTTGTTCCCTAAATACATGGCCATCCACTTAACATTTGGGAGTTGAAAGGGGCCTAAGAAATCATCTAACCTGAACCTCTCCATTTATAAGTAAGGGAAGTGAGGCCTGGAAAGGTACCTAATCACCTAAGGAAGGTTCTGGGACTAGAGCACGGCTGTCCTTGTCCCGGTCAGCATGGGCACAACAATCCAGCAGTGCAGGAGTGCTTACTAGATACCCAGTAGCGTCCCAGTGGCGATGAGGAGTGTAAACAATGAATAAAACCGTTTTTGTCCACCGGTACCTGTAGTTGAGGTCAGGGGTTTTCTACCCAGGCTATGCTGGAATTACTAAGGGCGAGCCCCGTTCTGATTCAGTGGGTCTGGAGTGTGGCCCACACATTGCTGTGCTTGTTTTTGTTTTTCAAAGCTCCAAAGATAGAATTATCGGTGCCAACCATAGACCTTTAGCATTGGAATGAACCTCACAGGTCCTGTGTCCATGCCCTCATTTTGTGGATGGGGAAATGGCCCTGGAGAGAAGTCAGACAATTTAGTTCAAGACCCAGGAAACTCAAATCTTGATCTGAGGTTTCTTACATTGAAATTCATTCACAACCAAGGATCACATGCATGGTCTTCTAGAGTGTTGGGGACACCCTGAAATTGGAGGCAACATTTCCTGTCCATGCGTCTGTATATTCTTCTAATGAGAAGTTCATAGCATGTGTCAGAAAAATGAAGAAGGCTCTGTGGTTGATGGGCGAGGTAGACCTAAGTGTCTGAAGAATCCGTGTTTTCTGCTGTGTGCTGATGTCTTCTAGTGCTAAAGATACAGTAAAGACAGCAGGAAATATGAATAGAGAAGGGACTGAAGTAAGTCATTGCTTTCCTTCTCTACTAAGGAACCATGGGCAGGGGAAAGTGAAAGACCCTAGCATCCAAGAAATGTGGCATCTTGTTCATCACCAAACTGACTGGTTTGAGGCCTAGTTGTGATTAAGATTCAATATTGAAACTGCTAAACTATAGTTTGTCCTGTACGTAAAATTTGGATTGGTTATAGCTTCCTTTGGGGGCCCTAATTCTTGTCCCTGCCTTTGAATAACATGCCTTTGAAGCAGTGCATTTTGGAAAGTCAAGGACTTCTTGGTACTCCCTTCAAAAGCAGTGTTGTAATTTGATGTAATTAATTTATTTCCAGAGGATGTCTACAGTTGCTTTCGCTTCCTGGTCAGTGTTTTTTCAGATGAGTTCATCTTCCTTCCAGGAAACACAGTCAAGGTAAATCCTTACAGCCGAAAAGCCCAACTGTGTTTGCAGTGTGAGTTCTGGAAATGGTAGGCTTGCATCCACGAGTGTGACCTCCCTTTCTCCAAGGCTTCATTTGGCAGAATTAAAGAGACACTTGGACACTCACAGCTCAGCAAGCTCTGTTTTGGTTCTTGGTCAAGTTTAGTCAGTAATATAGGGCTTATTCGGTGAGAAGGGAGTCTTTCTTTCAACCTTCAGTGCAGCCACTGTAAATAAATCAACACCGTTTTGGGCACCTGGGTGGTTTGGTTCATTAAGCGTCCAACTCTTGGTTTAGGCTCAGGTGATGATCTTGCGGTTTCGTGAGTTTGAACCCTGTGTTGGGCTCCGTGCTGGTAAGCATGGAGCCTGCTTGGAATTCTATGTCTCCTTTCTCTCTGCCCCTCCCCCACTCACTCTGTCTGGCTCTCTGGCTCTCTCTCTCTCAAAATAAATAAATAAACTTAAAACAAAATTTACCGACTGCCACACATTTTCCCATTAACAACTTGTTGGAATGTGTCGGGCCTCTTGCTTTGAGATTGGCGAGCAGTAGTGTTACCCAGTGGTATAGACAGCTCATGAGGAATCGGGCTCCCAGATTCCCGGTAGTTTGCTGGCCCGCTGGTTTGCCGCGGCGGGCGGTGTAACAGGATGGCAAGTAGTTAGGTTTCTGTACGCTGTGCCAGGGAGCACAGGTTTTCCTCAGTTGAAAATGAGGGCAGCAGATTTTGAGCATAAGCATAACCCCACGTATTTTGAGGACCTGCTGTATGTCCTTCCTGTTGGAATGTAAGGAGTGTGGCCATGCAGAGTGAGAAAATCCATGCCCCGGGTCGTGATTTCTAAGGCTTATGAATCTTCTGTGTGTTTGCTGTTTGAGGTTCCGCATTTTGTGTGTTAGCACACACGCTTCTCTGGCTGCTAACAACCAGAACCTTCCGGAAGGGTTGTGGAATTAACTGGTGTTCTCTCAGTGTCCCCGTTAACCTAAATTAGTGGATGCACTCTGTCTTCTCCTCTTCCTTCCCAGGACTTTGAAGAAGGCTGTTACCTGCTCTGTAAAAGTGAGACAATACAAGTGACAACAAGGGACATCCTAGTTACCCCGAAAGGAAATCCTGTCTTAGAATTTTTAATAGCCCTCTTTAAACCTTTTGTGGAATCTTATCAGGTATGTAACTCTTAGGAAGTTCTGCTTCATCCTCCCGTATCCGGTATAACTAAGATCCCCCCAGCCTGTACTTCCTTCTGGCCCCAAGGGCAAGTGTCTCCCCCAGGTGAATGGTGGAACAGTAGGGAGATTGATCAATAGGGTGAAAGATTCACCTCTCAGGTGATTCACCGTCTCAGACCCCAGAGGGTAGCAGCTTTATGACGCCACATAACTACACTTACACCCAAGCACTGTCATGCTGTATCTTAACAGCTGTTTTCGTAGCACGTAGCAAGGTGTTTGATACATCATAGGCGCGCAGTAGATGCAAGATTTGAATGATACAGAAAGTCATTTCTATCAGAATTTCTATACAGAAATTATTTCTATCACTAAAGGCTGATGTTGGAAGGGAAAGGAAAGGTTGGGGTGCAAGTATCAGAAAGAGTGTGTCAGAGCTCTAGGAGTGCTTCGAGAGGGGGGAGGGTCTATATGCCCAGCAGGAACTGTGCCAGGATTCAAAGGGAGAAGGGGAGTTTGCAGTGGAAGCTCTCAAGGGACTGTACATATTTGCAAGAAGAGGGCTCTGTTTCTGAGCTCTGTGCACCGGTTAGAGGCGCCCGGGACTGACCTCCTGGCAGAGTGGCTCTGTGGCCTATGAAATAGTTCTTGTACAAAGTCTGGCACTTAGTAGATAAATGATAAATGCTCCTTCTATCTCAAAGCACCTTTCTGTGCTAGAAGCCATCAGCATTTGGGGCCTATTAGGTGTTTTTAGAGAAAAAACAGTTGCAAAACTTTTGGTCCTCTCTTCCTAAGCAGTGTAAGGTCTGTTAAGCTGATGGTGATTCACTTAATTTGCAACCCATCAAAGTGAGAAATTGTATTTTAATAAATGTCAATACTATTTCAAACTCTTTTTTCTAACTATAAGCAGTGATACGAGCTCAAGAGGGACCCAAGAATTCTGTGGCTTTTCTGTGCCCAAACCTTGGAGGGCATTTATTCTGCTCTTACAGAAAGTATCTTTCTGTGATGAGGGGCACTATCACGTTACTGGCTGTCCTATTGTATTTGGCTGCGTTTTTCTCTTTCTGTTAAAACCAGATAATTTGCAAATACCTCTTGCACGAAGAAGAAGACTACTTCACTGAGAAACAGTACTTGGATGGAGTTAGAAAATTCACCAGTGAGCTTCTTGATCAAGGTCAGTCACACCCCTGTGGGTGGTGATTTCCTGTGGTTGAAAACAAGAAGTGGTCCACTCACTTCTTTCTCTGTCCCAGGTGCCTCGCAGTGTTACGACGTATTGTCTTCCGATGTACAGAAAAATGCCTTAGCAGCTTTTGTGAGGCTAGGTGTGGTAGAGAAGAAGAAAGTGTAAGTACTGCCTGGGACCGCATGGGTGCTGAAGGGGCGGCGACGGCTAATGACAGTTGAGCCCCGAATCCAGACAAAGTCGTAGAAATAGATGATCTGTAAACATTATACCGTACCTCCCTCACCCATCTGCTGATGGGTCACGTCAGTATGAGTTACTGTGCAAATTTTATGTGGATATGAACAAAAATGATACTAAAGCAAAAAAAGTGTTTTAGGCCAGCAGTTTGGCTTTGACCTAATATTGAAATTTATAGATTAATTATAAGAAAGATTTTGGGGGAGCACAGTAGAGTGTGTGTGCATGTATACACTTGTATATGCCCACGTGCAACACCTAAATACATACGTGTATGTGCAGATCGTTAGATGTTTCCTCTTCTGAGTGAATGGAGGTAAGAGCGGTCAAGCTTACGGACGGCTGGCTGGCTCAGTCGGTGGAACATTCAACTTTTGATCTCAGGGTCGTGGGTTCGAGCCCCACACTGGGTGTACAGATTACTACTAAAAAATAAAATAAACTTGAAAACAAAAGAAAAGTAGTCTTACTGTATAAATAATGAACATTGACTTCCCCCCACCCAAGTTTATGCGATAAGAGTTTTTTGCATTTTCTTCCCCTAGAAATAGTCACAGTGTATTTAATGTGAATGAACCTGCCACGACAAAATTAGAAGAAGTGCTTGGTAAGTACAGTTTAGTGACATATGTGGTTTCACATTGTATTTATCACCATACAGTAAAACAAGAAAGTATACTGTGGCACCAGAGACTTCATCAAAATGAACAACAGTAGAGTTTTAATATAAAGAGAACTATATTACCTAGGTTTTTCCAAAGGGAAGTGAGGACAAGGTGCAGAGAACACACAGCAAGCATAAAATGGGCAGTCTCCTCACAACATAACAACTATCAGCTTCTAGGGACGCCTGGCTGGCTCAGTAGGTGGAGCGTGCAACTCTTGATCTCAGAGTTTGAGTTTGAGCCCCACACTAGGTATAGAGATTACTTGAAAACAAAACCTTAAAAAGAAATTATATGGGGCAGCTGAGTGGCTCGGTTAATTGTCCGACTCTTGATCTCAGCTCAGATCTTAATCTCAGGGCTCATGAGTTCAAGCCCCACATGGAGCCTACTTAAAATTTTTTTCATTAAGTTAAAAAATTATCGGCCTCAGGGACACCTGGGTGACTCGGTGGAGCGTCCAACTTCAGCTCAGGTCATTATCTCCTGGTTCGTGAGTTCAAGCCCCGCATTGGGCTCACTGCTGTGAACATAGAGCCCACTTTGGATCATCTGTCTCCCTCTCTATGTCCCTCCCCTGCTCATGCTCTCTCTCTCTAAAATAAATACACATTAAAAAAAAAATTATCAGCTTCTAGCATAATTAATCAGGGCCTGAGATCTGGACCCTTCACATCCAGTCTTATCGGACATGGAGAAAATACCTCTCATCTGAGTCCTTGGATTCATTTTCTCCCTGTCTACTCTTGGATCCCTTCTTTCCCCGGTAAAGGGTTGGGGTCAGTGTTCACAGCATATAGACTTTCTGAACTCAGAATTGGGGCCAATAGCACCTCCTTGGGAGAATAATCCAGCCTTACTCTTCTCCAGATGCCATTGGCTTATCAACAAATAATCCAGTCCAGAAAGGCAGGGTCATTTGTTTATGGTATGCAAAGAGAGTTGAGAGTATGGATATAAGCAAAGAGATCTAAAGGTCAGAGGAGATAGCAAACGTTTCTCATAGGAATGATGGGATAGTTTTAGAAGGGGAGAGTGTTAGCATCTGAAAAAAAAATACTTGTCTGGTGATTATATTGAATAAGCACTACATCGTTGAGTGGATATTCTCACAAGTAGCAGTTTTGTACCCCTACATGAAATTCAGTACATTTGTCAAACCTACATGAAAGAGCTTTAGGCAGATGTCTGCCAGGATGAAGGGAAAACCAGGACGGGGCGTGTGGCTGACGGAGAAGGGTTGAAGAGAAAGGGTAGACGGACAAAGGAATGGTTGACATAAATAGCAAAGGTGGGAATGCTAGTTTCTTGCTGAAGAAAATATGAATGGTGAAATCCCAGTCTTCTGTCATATTATGTCTGCAACCTCAGAACATGCAACCTTTTTGAGTTTGGTAAGAGGTGCGTATAACCAAAACAAACCCTAAATAAAACCCTCATTCAGTGAGGATGACAGAATGGATTTCTTAATCACGGATGGCAAATGTAACGTGGGTGTGGATGTACTAGAACGTAGGAGGCTGGAAGTTCAGAAAGCAGACTGGGTTCTCATCCTGGCTCTGGGCCTGGCCAGTGGGGCGGGGGTGGGAGTAGAGCAGGGGAGGGGCTGCTGCTTCCCCTGCGGACAGGCAGGTGTCTCCGTCGGGGCTTTGTCAGCCTGTGAAACCACACAGGTGTCAGGCTTATACAGCTGTATGGGGATGGGCAAACTCAAGGTCATTTCACGAGCTGGTTTTTTTTCCTTAGGTTGTAAGATACCCCTAGGAAAGCCGGCAACTGCAAAACTTTAATAATTGCCAAACAGTTATGCGAAACGTGGTCACATAATTGCTGTCATCTGAGGACTCTTATTCCAGCAAGCAGTGATGTGAAGGAAGAGAGTCATCTGCTCGTGCTTCACGAGACGTGAGAGCCATGGGCTCGGCAGAGAGGAAGAGGTAGCCGGTGTAAGCAATCAGTGTAACTTTCTCCACCGTGACGGTTCAAAAGGCATCTGTGTCCAACTCTGTGTGTGTTTTAAAATAAAACAGTCTTTTGGAAACATGTTTGGAAAAACAAAGCCCAGCTCCTATTTCACTAACTTGTTACATGTATTATACATTTACACCGACTTGTTGAATTGCATTGTGACATCAGCACGAAAGGCGGTGGCTGTCGGAAGTGGCACACCTATATTTCCTGTGGCTTCCTTCACCTCACGTGGCGTCAAACAAGTACCAGTTTGACGGAGGTGTGTGATAAATCAGCCAGCTTACATGAAAGCTTGCCACCCGGGGGCCTTAAGCAATAAAGCTGCATTGGAGAAAGTATGTGCAACAAAGAGACGTTATGTGATTGATCATAAATAGGCTTAAGAATCCAGGAGAAGAAGAGTTCGAAATAAGATGGGTGACCCCAAAAACTGTGACAGCCAACCACCACTGGGAGTGGCATTTAAGCTAAGAATTAAGATGAGTGCCAGCCCTCCAAGTGTGGGATTGGGGGGACAGAGCGGGGACAGAGGAGCAGAGTGTGCTGAGAGAAGGGTGATCACAGTGTTCTGGGGTTAGTTCTGGAGAACCCAAAAGGCCAACGTGGCTGAAACCACAGTCGTGGGCAGCGGAATTAAAAAGAAAGGCACGTGTATTAGTCTGCTTAGGCTGCCATAACGAAATACCAGATTGAGTGGTTTAAACAGCAGAAATTCGTTTTCTGACAGTTCTGGAGGCTGAAAGTCCCAAGACCAAGGTGCCAACAAGGTAGGTTTCATTCCAAGGCCTCTCTTCTGGGCTTGTCGGAGGCCACCATGTTGCTATGAGCGCACACGGTGGTCCTGCCCTCGTTATTCTGTGTAGCCCCAATGACTTCCCAAAGGCTCCCTCTCCACAGTCACGTTTGGGAGAGTTTGGGCTTCAGCATCAGAATTCAGGGCTCACAATTCAGTCCACAGCAGCAGGGTTAACACATGGGGACTGAGGGACTCTCGTAAGACATTTGAACTGGAACGTAAGTGCCATGGAAAATGTTGGAAGGTTTCGGCATGTGGTGCCAGGACTTGCTGTATCCAGATTCCTGGAATGTGCATTTGTTTTGCAGAGGCCAGGCAGTTTCTGCTGCACGTGCAGATTGTGGAGAGCTGCTGTGCTGGTCCACACGTTGGTGGCAGAGGGGCCCTCTGTGTGGCTCTGCTTGTATGGAAAGCCAGAGATTTATGTGTGTTGACAACAAGAAGTCAATTAAACAGTGTTCCTGGCAAAGGATTTCATGGCATGCCAGCTAGACGGGGACACAAAGCTGACCATCCAGGGAGAGAGAGTTCAAAGCAGCTGGCAACCTGGGACCCCGGCCAATTCCTCCCGAGTAGATGTGCCTTCGAAAGAGTCCCCATACAGCCGATTTTGGTGGTTTGGTTTTCTCCATGACAGTCGTGCTATGCATATAAATGTTGAAGACTGAGTAAGACGACTTGTTTACATTTAACACGTTTCAGGTCTGGGGGCAAAGCCTGGGGTTCTGGGCACAGGTGGCTACGGACTTGTCTCCTGGCCAGCTCTGATATGACATCCGAGCCAGCAAGTAAGCAGATAAAGAGAGGGGCAGGAAGAGGGGCGGGGGTGGCCAAAACCAAATGAGGCTTTGCAGCAGAGGCTCTGCTCCCCTAAAACCCCCTGGGATCACCCAGGCAAACCTAAAGTTTTGGGGAATAGCGTGCTCCCTATGCTAACGTACTTTCAAAGCATGCTATCCTACCCCACGCGTGCTCCTTTACACACACGTGGTTTCAGAGCGCACTGCTGTGCCTACGCTCTTCCACTCCATCCCATCTATAAATTCTGAAGCTGCCACTGCTTTGAAGTGGGTAGAAAGGCCCTTAGCATGTGGCTTTCCACGTCTGCTATCCCAACACAATGTTGCAGCTGAGAATGCAGGGTCTGGAACCCAACCGGGTTTGAAATCCAACGCTGCCATCTGCTAGCCCTGTGTTCTTGTAGGATTTACTTATACTCAAAGCCTCAGCTTCCTTATCCATCAACTAGGGATGATGATTCCTCTTGGGCTGTGAGAAACGGGAATGCTGGGGGGCTCAGTCAGTGGAGCATGGGACTCTTGATCTCGGGGTCATGAGCTCAAGCCCCATGCTGGGTGCAGAGCTTACTTCAAAAAGCAAAAAGAAATTTCTAAAATTTCTAAGGAACTTACCAAACTCAACCCCCAAAAAACAATCCAGTGAAGAAATGGACAAAAGACATGAATAGACACTTTTCCAAAGAAGACATCCAGATGGCTAACAGACACATGAAAAAATGCTCAACATCACTCATCATCCGGGAAATACAAATCAAAACCACAATGAGATACCACCTCACACCCGTCAGAATGCTAACATTAACAACCCAGGCAACAACAGATGTTGGCGAGGATGCAGAGAAAGAGGATCTCTTTTGCACTGCTGGTGGGAATGCAAACCGGTGCAGCCACTCTGGAAAACAGTATGGAAACAGTATTAAAAAACAGAACTACCCTGTGACCCAGCAATTGCAGTGCTAGGAATTTACCCAAAGGATACAGGAGTGCTGTTTCATAGGGGCACATGCACCCCAATGTTTATAGCAGGCCTATCAACAATAGCCAAAGTATGGAAAGAGCCCAGATGTCCATTAACTGGTGAATAGATAAAGAAGATGTGGTATATATATACAATGGAGTATTACTCGGCAACCAAAAAGAATGAAATCTTGCCATTTGCAACTACATGGATGGAACTGGAGAGTATTATGCTAAGTGAAATAAGTCAGAGAAAGACAAATATCATATGACTTCACTCCTATGTGGAATTTAGATACAAAATGGATGAACATAAGGAAAGGGAGGCAAAAATAATATAAAAAACAGGGAGGGAGACAAAACATAAGAGACTCTTAGATATAGAGAACAAACAGGGTTGCTGGAGGGGTTGTGGGTGGGGAAATGGGCTAAATGGGTAAGGGGCACTAAGGAAGACACTTGTTGGGATGAGCACTGGGTGTTATAAGTAGGGGATGAATCACTGGAACTTCCTCCTGAAATCATTATTGCACTATATGCCAACTAACTTGGATGTAAATTTAAAATTTTTAAAAAAAAGAAATAGAAATGCCGGTAGCATATTTGAAACAGTCTTTGGCAATAAGTGTAATCTTATTACACTTCTACTTATCTTTATCTTATCTATCTACTTATTATCTTCTACTACTACTGACAGGGACAAACCCTAGTTGGCTTCTCAAAGAAGATGAGATTGGATGCTTTCAGGTGGTTTCTGTGGCTGCAGATGCTTGTGCCTCAGCCCAGCTGCTCAGCCCAACAGCATCATGCTGTGCGCTGCCCCAGTACCTCATCCACAGACACCTGTCATGTTCCAAGTTCAGCTGAGCGGTGCTGGAAATCACAACTTTTCCCTACATCTCTTCTTCCATGAATAGAATGGGAACATTCAATGTAGGGTAGAAAGTAGATTTTGATGTCTTGTTTGACTTTGTTCATTTCTTTCTTTCTTTCTTTCTTTCTTTCTTTCTTTCTTTCTTTCTTTCTTTCTTTCTTTCTTTCTTTCTTTCTCTCTCCCTCTCTCTCTCTCTCTCTCTCTGTCTCTCTCTCTCTCTCTTTCTTTCTTTTCTTTCTTTCTTTCTAAATTACCAACTGTGACAGAAGCACAAATCTCCCATCGACAAATTCAAACATCTAGGCAGCTAAGTGGCTCAGTCGGTTGAGCATCGATTTGATTTCAGCTGAGGTCGTGATCTCACAGTCCGTAGGATCGAGCTCTGCTTCAGGCTCTGCACCTACAGCATGGAACCTGCTTGGGAGTCTCTCTCTCTCCACATTTCCCCACCATGCACGCACATGTGCACTCTCTCATAATAATAAATAGGCTTTAAAAAAATAGATTCAAGCATCATTTTTTTCTAGAGCCGTCTCTGGACCTGCTGCACAGCTGTCAACCTGGGATTTCCCTTCACTGTTCTCTTGACAATTCCCTTCACTTTTCTGTGTTGGATTCCCCTCTTTGGGGTCCCATTTATTCCTTTTTGTTTATCAATTCTAGTGAAGCCTATCTTCCAGCTGTAGGAGGGATTAATGTTGTAGATATCACCTTGTCTTTTTTCCACCCACAGTTGTCTGACAATTTAGCTGGGTATAGAAATTCTAGTTTAGAAATAATTTTCCACGAAAATTTTGAAAACCGTATTTCTCCATTGTCTTCTAGTTTCTAAAGTTATTTTTCTCTGAAGTCAAAAGAACATTCTGATTCCTGAATACAAATTATTTGCCTTCTCAGGAAGTTTTTAGGATCTGTTTTTTATACTTTCTGAAATTTCGGGTGATGTGCTTTGTTGTGTTTTATGTTTTGTTTTGTTTTGTTTTTGTGTCTTGGACAAATTTATGATCTTACAGTTGACAAGGTCAGAAATCTGAAAGGAATCTTGCTAGGATAAAATCAAGGTGTCCCCTTGATCCAGAGGCTCTAGTAGGAGAATCAGTATCCTTGCCTCTCCCAGCTCCTAGAGGCTTCCTTCATTCCTTGGCTTGGGGCTTCTTCAAATCCAGCAATGTCAGGTAGAGGCCTCATTCTACATCCTCTTGTTTTTTCTCTTCCGTATTCCTCTTCCACTTTTTTTTTTAAATTGAGATATAACTGACATTACAGTATATTAGTTTCAGGTGTACAAGGTAATGATTTGATATCTGTATATGTTACAAAATGATCACAATTAAGTTCAGCTAATATCTGTCACCATACATAGTTCTAAAAGCTTTTTTTCTTGTGATGAGAACTTTCAAGATCAAATCTATCTACTTTCAAATATGCAATACAGTATTAACTAAAGTCACTATGCTGTGCATTACATCTTCCTGACTTGCTCATTTCGTAACTGGAAATTTATACCTATAGACTGCTTTCACCTATTTCATGCATCTCCAAACCCCTTTCACAGAACCATCAATCTCTTCTCTGTATCCAGAGAACTGATTTTTGTTGTTGTTGTTTTTGGGAGGGGTGGTTCCTTCAATTCTACCTATAAGTGAAATCATACAGTATTT